ATAGGCCTGGTAGGCCAAAAGAACTTCAGAATATTATTTCTTCTCTTATGAATCATTGGAGGGTTCTGAAACAAACCTCTACTTCTTGGAGATCATGAGCAATGATGTTGGGGTCTACTACTTTAATCAGACTTTTATTTTTAATATGCCCTGAATTGTATTCTAGTTATCAAAGGATAAATTTTTCATCCATTTATTAAGATTTTGGTTTTGAATATTGGCTGCTTCTTATAAATGGATCATATTGCTATTTTCACTAATTCTTATAAATACATGACTGTAAGTCGAAGAAAACAGCAATTATTCAGTTAGGTTCAAGAGCCTGAAAACTACTTTCTGTCTTCCTAAATAAGAGAAAGGAATAACAAAAATAAAAGAACCACATACGATCACCAAATTTCCACAAGATCTCATTCAAAACAATCAAAATATCAAGAAATGCTTTAATCTCACCATAATTCTCAAGGTTTTGTAATATTTTTTTTTTTTAAATCCTACATAGAAATTGGATCCTTCTTATTCAGAGTAGTATTTAAAAGTGTTTAAGTAAAAGATAATTGGTTTGTTGAGTAAACTGAGAAAGTGGAAACCTCTCCAAATCCTTGGAATCCCTTCAGGTGCATGACTTAGTAACAATGCACCTGAGCCAGGGAGAGACTTGGGGATTCCTGGCATCATAGTCCAAGACATCTGGTGGCACTAGGTTGGCAGGCTCAAATACATGAATTGGAATTCAACATTCAATCTTGCCAAAATAGGAAAGCCTCAACAGATGGCATTACCTTGGCTGATTCTCAGAAGCTAAACAGAGTTGATCCAAGGTAATAGTACCTAGATGGAGAACTGCTTGGGAATTTCAGGCTAATGATGAGAATTTTTTAGAAAAACCATAATTCAGACTAAAACGAATCCTTCCTGTAATGCTGCTTTAAAAACACATGAATGTAATCACCAAAGTTTGTGTCTTTACTCATGTTGAATATAAAATTTCCCAGTATAATGGAGGTCTGCCAACAGAGGCACCTGCAGAATCTGATAGTTTTGTCAAAATGGCAATCTAGGCTTGTGATGATCTGACTCAAGCTTTGTCCCCAATGTGCAGATTACAAAACGGACATCATGATATTAAAATGCTTATTTCATCATTTGTCCCCACATGTACCCTATAGATACCCTACTCTCTACCTCAGTAGGAAGATAAATCTGTAGCTCTAATGACATCAGAAAAATGGAAAGAGCAATCATGTTCTAGAAATATTTTAATTTAATTTAATTAGAAATCCAACAAGGCAGAGGTGGTGTTCAGCAGGTTCTGACCAGTTCTGTGAAACTGGTAGCAGAAATTTTGAGTAGTTCGGAGAACCGGCAAATACCACCTCTGACTGGCTCTACCCCCATCTATTCTCTGCCTCCCGAGTCCCAACTGATCAGCTGGGTTTTTTTTGTTGCTCTGCACAGGAGAATGGAGCTGGAAAGCAGGTTAGTGGGGTGGGGAGGGAATGGAGATTTTGCAGTATCCTTTCCCTGCCATGCTCACCAAGCCACGCCCACAAAGCCACACCATGCCCACCAAGCCATGCCCACAGAACTGGTAGTAAAAAAAATTGAATCCTACCACTGCAGCAAGGCATAGATCTGTGTAAGCTACTCTAAAGTGTGTTACTGAAAAAAATTGTAGGCTGCACCACAGGAAAAAAAAATAATTTATGTAAAATTATTTGGCAGAACCCCTTTATTAGACCACATAACTACAGTCCGATTGTGAATTATTGGTTAATGGCAGAGGCGGTATTCAGCCAGTTCTGACCAGTTCTGGAGAACCGGTAGCGGAAATTTTGAGTAGTTCAGAGAACTGGCAAATACCACCTCTGACTGGAGATTTTATAGTATCCTTCCCCTGCCACGCCCCCAAGTGACACCCACAGAATCGGTAGTAAAAAATTTTGAATCCCACCACTGGTTAACGGAATCTTGTGTTTACTGTAGTAGCACTGGATTCACACAACAGTGAACTATAAACGATCAATTGAGCCATATTATATCAATGTGGGGACATTTATGTATGAAAAATACATTAAAAAATACATCATTTATATCATCCCACCCTTTTAAAATTTTGAACTGTCGGTGGCAGAATATACACTTCATCCCCTACCCCTGCTATTTCCTCATTAATGTTTATGCTATTGCAAAATACTTTTCCAATAGTCAATGAATCTAATGGTTTTTGGTTTCTAAGCATATTTCAAAGTTTAAATACTTTAAAACTTGGTCAATTGGCCACTTACCATCCAATGTCCCTGAAGTAAGTGGATTGCACATAAAAACAGTATTTCTGGTATAGTCCTTTTTCAGTCAAATTACTTTTTGTTAATGCTTGCATGGGACTTGCATTTTTCTCTTTCCAGATTCTTTTTTTCCCCTTTGATGATAAAAGTATATGTTAATTACTGCTATATTTTTATTTGCTTAGTGTTTGCTTCTAGCTGTTTTATTATTTTTGTGTCTTGAGTATATTTCTTCTACTCGATATTGTTAATCTTGCATCGATCAAATAACTAACAATAACAGAATATTCCAAGCCAATCCTTTGCAATTTAGCTTGCAGTAAAGAAACATGGTGCCTTCCATATGTGTTGGAACTTATAGGATTCCCAGCCATAACAGAGAGATACCAACATGCTGTAAATGTTTTAAGATGAGCAAGAGCTATGAATTCAGCTCATCTGTGGCCAATTTTTGCGGGGCTTCAAAATATGGTAAGCTCAGAATGAAATCTGTCGGTGGGAAATTATAATGTATTTAAGATTATGCATTTCGTATAAACCTAGAAGCAGCTGACTGGGGTAAAAAAGCTCTATCTCATGATGCCAGTGGATGCTAATCCCAACCTAGTTCTGAAAACACAGTGAAAGTGAAAGAATAATATTAGCATTGAACTGTCACATTATCAAGAATGCAGTCTGCTACTGAAAAAAAGCCCTTTGCTTTATTTTAACAGGAAGAATCCCTGCCTCAGGACAGGTTTGCAAGACTTTGCTCTTTACCACCAAAAATGTCCTTTCAGCCACTCCAAAATCCATACAGTTCCCTATCTGTAAATGTGTACATATGCATACTGCAGTGGTGGGATTCAAAGGTTTTACTACCAGTTCTGTGGGCATGGCTTGGTGGGCGTGGCAGGGGAAGGATGCTGTAAAATCTCCAGTCAGAGGTGATATTTTCCGATTCTCTGAAGTACTCAAAATTTCCACTACCGGTTCTCCAGAACTGTCAGAACCTGCTGAATACCACTTCTGGCACACTGCCTTTTCTTAAGTGAAAGTAAAGACTTCAGTCAAGTCTGTACTTGTGTAACTTTATTGAATTCCAAAAAAATAAGAATAAAAGATAAACTATCTTTTATACAGATATAGATAAAAAAAATAAATCAAATTCTTACTCTAAAATTAAATAGTCTACATTGTTTCTATAATCACATATAATTCAAATCATCCATTTCCAAAATAAAAACTTCGTTTCTTTCTATTTGTCATGAAAAATCTAAAAGTGGTTTCCAAGTAAAAATAAAGTTGGTTAGTCTTTTCTTTAACCAAAGCTGTCAATTTTGCCTTCACCACCAATTTTATCAGCTTCACCATTCGTTCTTCCATATATAAAAACAAAATTCCATAAGATCTTTCAATCTGTTTGTTCATTAACCCAAAATAAAAAAAATATGCAGTACACTCACTTTCTAAATTTCTTGTATCAAAATACATTTTATCCCAATATCTATTAATTTTATTACATATTTACTAAAGATAAAAGAATCTACACTCAGTTCAACAACATTTGAAATTTATTTTATGTTTTTACAATTTATGAGATGTCAAAATCATCAATAGATCTTTTTATGAAAGTTCTCCTTAAAATTATAATTCAGTTTAAATTTCAGACTTTTCTTCCATATTGACCCAGCTGTATATTATATTTTGTCTGTTTTATCATGATCTTTAACTTGTTCATCCTATTTCTATTTTCAGTGAAAATTTGTATTTCTTAGCAATTATATGACAGCAATTTTCTGACAGTGACAGCAGTTAACCAATGGAACAGAAGTTGCCTTCAGAAATTGTGGGAACTTCATCATGGGGAGCTTTCAAGAAGAGACTGGACTGCCATTAGTCTGAAATGGTGCAGGGTCTCCTCCTTAGGCAAGGGATTGGATTAGATAACCTACAAGGTCCCTTCCAACTCTGTTAATCTGTTATATAGCCATCATTAATCTACCTTTCATAAGTCCATATGAAATTCAGTCTTATCGTTTTCAAATTCATAATTCTTTTATCAAATTTAAATTTTCCACTAGCTGTGCGTAGAAGATGCAATGACATATACAGCTTTCCAATTCCACGTTTTATCTTTTGATTCAAGTTTGACTTGGTTGACTACATGGAAATGTCCCTTTTCTTGAAATAATAATGAAGTGATTTACCATTGTCTTCTTTGGTTTTTAAACTCATTCAACCAAGTTCTCGTGTTGTAACCAGAACAATCTGGAACTGAACACACTCAAAACCGTAGAAATGGTGGTAGACTTTAGAAGAACCCCTCCCATACTACCACCTCTTACAATACTAGACAACACAGTATCAACAGTAGAGACCTTCAAATTTCTAGGTTCTACTGTATCAGATGACCTAAAATGGACACCTAACATCAAAAACGTCATCAAAAAAGCACAACAAAGAATGTTCTTTCTGTGCCAACTCAGAAAGCTCAAACTGCCCAAGGAGCAACTGATACATTTCTACAGAGGAATTATTGAGTCTATCATCTGCACCTCTACAACTGTCTGGTTTGGTTCTGCAACTCAACAGGACAGACACAGATGATAATTAGAACTGCAGAAAAAACAATTACTACCCACCTGCCTTCAATCGAGGACCTGTATACTGCATGAGTCAAAAAGAGGACTGTGAAAATATTTACAGACCCCTCACATCCCATACATAAACTGTTTCAACTCCTTCCCTCAAAACGACGCTGTAGAGCACTGCACACCAGAACAACTAGTCACAAGAACAGTTTTTTCCCGAAAGCCATCACCCTGCTCAACAAATAATTCCCTCAACACAATTCAACTATTACAAAGTCTGCACTATTACTGTTAATCTTCTCATTACTCCTTATCACCCGTCCCCTCCCACTTGTGACTGTATGACTGTAACTTTATCGCTTGTATCCTTATGATTTATATTGACTGTTTCCTAGTATGATATGATTGCTTATTGTACCCTATGACTATCATTAAGTGTTGTACCTTATGATTCTTAACGAATGTATCTTTTCTTTTATGTATACTGAGAGTATTTGCACCAAGACAAATTCCTTATGTGTCCAACCACACTTGGCCAATAAAGAATTCTATTCTATTCTACTTTCTCAGATGCTTTTTTAGGTCAGTCATTATCTCTCAGTGCAATCTTTCTTACAGAGTTGCTGTGAGGATAATAGATGAGTGGCGCATGCTATGTGCTTTCTTGAGCTCCAGAATGAAAAGTGGGATATAAATATGACAATCAGTGATAGAGTTACGTTTCATCTAAATCAACCTTTTAACGTTGTCTTTAAACCTCCCTGGTAAAACCATTGTTGTATTTTGAGATAATAAATTCCCAACTTAAATACATACTATGCAAATAAGTATTTCATGTTGTCAGTATTAACTTTTCCACCTGTCACTTTCTTTCTTTTTTAACAAATTTTATTCAGTTTAGTGGACAACATATTTCCGGGTCATCACTTTTACATACAAATATGACAGCAATTATACATTCATATATGCAAACTTAATTCTATTATTACCTTTTCCATTCCAAATTTTCAGTAAGGAGAGAAACAAACACATTAATTCTAGCCTCTTTCATTAACCTCAGTCGAAACATCTTTTTGTTTCATTTCAATTATTTCAAATATAATCCTTTAATATTTAATTTAAAAATAAAGATAAACAATATGTGTTTGCCTAATAATAATAATAATAATAATAATAATAATGTCTCTCCTTGCTTTTAATAGTCTATATTAACTTATTAATTTAGTTGGTTCTTTAGTCTGTCATATTCCCTTTCCATTACACATTCTTTTTATAAATTCTAGATTAATACAAATTTTAACACTAAAAAAAAACAAGTATAGGTTTCCCCCCTTTTACTGTTTTGAGTGTGACACCTCAATGATTAAAATATACCTTTATTCCCTCATCTTGATTCCCAATAAACCATTATTTTTAAGAAGTTACAATAATAATCATTACATCTTTTCATTTCTATTCCGCAGCATATTTTCCCCGCTTGATTTTTAATAAGAGTTATCAGTATCTATATTACCCTATTTTCTAAATATTTTTAATTGCAGAAATATTCTTATTACCCCTTGTCACCCTGCAGAATCCCCTTTTTAATTCATCAACCATTATCTCTGAAAAAACAATTTCTTTTCAACATTTTACTATTCTGTATTTCTTTATTTCATGCACCTGTTTCTTACTGCTTCTCCTCCCACTCTTTTCCCCATATCTTTTCTCATTCTAGTTTATATCCCTCTCTTTCTTAATATCTTCCTTTCCCCTTTTCTGCTGGGTATTTTTTCCTTTCCTGACTTCACAGGTATTCCCCCTTCTGATTGCCTTCTTAAATTTCAACTTTTTAACCTTCCTTCTTTTCCCACTTCTTTGTAGTGTTCTTTGTGTTAATTGTCTATTTAAAATGTCTTCTCCTTGAGTCAACTCCTCCTCCTCTGAAGCTCTTTCTTCTTGTTCTTCAATCACCATTTCCATTTTTTCTAACACAGAGCAAAGTGATTTGCCTCTTTCCTGTAGTAATTCTCTCATATTTTTAAGTTCCATTTTTAATTCCCGAAGAGATATCATCATTACACATTCTTATATTTTATGATCATTAAAGTCCACAAAAAAAACCACTTTTAATTTCCTTCTTTCTTCTTTCAATTTTCTAAAGTTCTCAGTTATTCCAGCCCAGGGTCTATACCAAAAACATCAATCAATCCTACAGTCAGTCTTTCCTTGCTTTTTTCTTTATTCTCGTTCTGCTTTCACTTTCTAAGATTCTTATTTTGTTTCAATATTTCTTTAATGTTATATCCACACAAGTTCATTCAGAAACAGGATGCTTTCCCTTTTGTTTGAGCTCAAGTTTTTGTCAAAAGGTGGCACTCTCCATTATACAAAGTCTTCACCTTTGCCCCTATTTTTTTATTTAGGGTTTTTCAAACCTCAATATTCCAGCACAGTCCAGTCTCCAATTTGTAAACTTTATTATTATTATTTTTTGACAATCTTAAGTCCAGCTTTATTTTATGCCTCTTTATTCTCAAAACATTTTAGTCCAATTTAGTTAAATCTTTAGTTCCAGCTTCTTTCTTACCCAGTTCGAAGCCCCGTTTCGCTGTCAAAAATATTTTCTTTTTTTCCCCTGTCCCTTTGAAATTTTGCCGCTCACTTTTCTTTTCTTAAAAATTCCATGTTACCTTAATCTCGGGGTACTTTTGTTTAGTTGTATTGCCCAGTTGTCCCAGTTCAGATGTTATCCACCTCTTTCTTCCCTCTTGCACAAATCTTAATCCAGCTGAGTCCTCCTCTTCAGGGTGGCCATTTTAAACCACCGCTGCAGTTGTCTTCGGGGGAAAAAAGACCAAGCCCAGGGGGGGGGAGATGCGGCTCCCCTCAACCTGGCTTGAGGCTTCCCTTACTCCACTGCCCCTCCTAGGCAGCTTCAGTCCCTAATCGTAATAATCAGGGCTCTCCAACGAAAGAGCACGGACCATAGCCACAAGAGTCGCGATCTATGGTCTGTCAGCAAGGATGCTCTGCCTTCTTCCCCTCCACCTGTCATTTTCATGGATATACATATGTCTTAGTATTTTCAGTGATGGGAAATGGTGTAAGAACCACTGTCAGTCATGCATAATTTATTCACTTCAACCATGTCCCATCTTAATTTGATTTTTTTTAAGGTCTTTTTAAGAAAGAAAAATTTTAATATGGGTGTGTATGTGTGTGGGTAGTAATAGTAGTAGTAATAGTAGTAGTAGTTGTTGTTAACATCATGCTAGTAACCTGAAGACTGAATTCTAGTTTTGCTTCAGGTGCAAAGCTATTTGGTAATGTTTGGTCAGTTACTTGCTGTCAGCCAGGGTGGGATTCAAATTTCTTAGCAACCGGTTCTGTGGTCATGGCCTAATTTGTGGGTGTGGCTTGGTGACCATGTGACTTGCTGGGTGTGGACAACTCAACATCACTTCTTTGCCCTAATGACTTTTTTAAGTATTAAAAAAGATATACCAAACAAAAGGTAGTTTATTGTTTCATGTCTTTAATGCTTAAATAATAAAAAAGGTACACAAAACTAGGAGAAACAAACAGAAGTATCAACATGTAACAATAATAGTAAAATAATTTTTATTTATGTATTTATTTATTTAGTATCTCTTTTATTTTTATGATTAATAAAAAACAGATACTAAAAAAATACATAAAGAAATTTAAAAAAAGCAACTTACCAAAAATTAGGCAGGCAAGTTGGCTGGCCAGCTACACCAGGGTCCTCAGTCAGGAATTGTCTGTAGCGCTTGCTGCGGCAAGGATAGCTGGGTGGCCCGGGAGTCAGCACTCAACTAGGGCTAGTGGTGGTGGCAGGAGGAGGTAGTCAACCACAGGACTTGCTGCTTGCCTCCTCACTAACCAATCAGTAGTGGAAGACTAAGCAGCAACAACGATGTGGTGGGCCATAGGCCAGAGAGGATGGCAGCTGAGGAAAGATGGTGGCTGGGCGAAGCAGGTAGTGAGGGCAGCTGAATGGCCCAGGAGTTGGCAGTTCAACTGGGGCTGGTGGCGGTAGTGGCAGGAAGAGGTAGGCGACCGGCAGGACTAGCTGCTTGCCTCCTCACTCACTAATCAGTGATGGAAAGCCAGGCAGCAATGGTACGGTGGGCTGCAGGTGAAAGATGGCAGCCGGGTGAGGCAGGCAGCAGCAGCAAGGACGGTTTGGCAGTCTGGGAGTCATTGGGATTCAACTGGGGCTGGCAATGGCAGCAAATAGGCGACCAGGGCTTGCTTGGAGGTCTCACTCACCAATCTGCATATTCAGCAATGGTGGTCGGGTGAAACAGGCAGGCCGGGGGAGGCAATCTGGGTGAAGCAGGCCAGCCAGGGGAGGCTGGGCGGGGCATCAGGCCAGGCAAGGCAGGCCAGGTGAGGCAGGCAGGCTGGGCAAGGAAGGCAGGCTGGGTGAGGCAGGCAGTCCAGGCGAGGCAAGGTGGGCGAGGGCAGTTGGCAGCGGTGGCAACCGGGAATTGCAGAGCCCTCACTCACCCAGATCAGGCAAGGCAGCGGAAGGAAGGCAGTGATAGCTGGCTAGCTCCGAACTACCAAGAATCATAACAACTGGTTCTCCCAAACTAGTGCAAACTAGTAGAATCCCACCCCTGCTGTCAACCCTAGAAATAAAGTAATGGAAAACCACTTTAGAAAAAATTGATAGGAAAGCTATAGAGACTTGTCTTGACAGTCAAGACTAAATTAACATTCTCTTCTTAAATAGTGCTTTGCTTTTGAAGTAATGCCACGGATTGTATTAAAGTACATATAAACAGCTCTATGTTTTGTTTTCAGTTCTTTTCCTGATTTTTCCCCACATATTGTCATATCATCATTCCATGACTAATGTAAGCAAGAGCACATTTACCATAAGGAAGTCTTGTTCTACCATACCTTGTTTCACTCTGTGCAACCCTATTATTGTAAGTCAATCTTTCTAATCTCATTAGGGTTATCAGTTACCAGAAAATACCTTTGGTATGTATTGTAACTAGTTCCAGGAAACTGAGATTACATCATGTTTAATCCTATAGGCTACATGAATCAAAAGAGAATTTGGTACTATGTCATTTAATCAGATCCACCATAATTGTGCAAGCTTCATCAAGCCTACTGACATCATATACTGTACTTCATTACCAATGATGACAACTTCAAAGAAAAACAAAACAAAAACATCCTAGAAAAAGCCTGGGTGAGAAAGTTAATAAGAGCAAAGAATCAGAATCCTGAGAATGGATTTTCATATCAATCTTCCAAACTAATAATTACACCCACCAGTAAATAGATGCACATATTTGGGGAAAGGAAGTAATTCCATTTTAATAATATAAAGATTGTTTTTGTATGTATGTATTTATTTTATTAAGTGCTGTTCACTGCCCAGAGTCATTTTCTTGTGAAATGGATGGCCATACAAATAATAAATAAATAAATACACAAATAAATACATAAATAAAATCTAGCAATCTTGTTTTCTACCAGCATCACTGTTTTTTATTTTGCTATTTTTTCAAGAGATAATGCCTTTGCATTATCTATCTATTGAAGCTTATGGCATAAAATACAATGGAAATAAATATTAATGAAAAAAGAACTGCAGAATTTTCAAAAAGAAAAGAAGAAAAAATGCATTGACTTCCTCTTTATGACATAAAACAAAACAAAAACATCCTAGAAAAATACAGCTAATATGACTGCAGCTTTTTATATTGCCCATAATTATTAGAAACCAGTTCTTTACACAATTATTCAATAAATACTCAGTCTAAATTCTAAATTTCATTTTTTTTCAATCTCAATCACAAAAAACAGAAGTAATACCCAAATAGAAACAAGACCAAATAAAATCTCTGTTTAAAACAATTTACATCTTAACCAAATCCATTTTTTTCCTTTCTTCTCTGTTGTTACACTTATTAATTTTTCTAAATGAACATTACTTATATTAAATAAAATCACTATACTCTTCCAAATTTTTGAATCTTAAAGGGAAACTATATTCATTTTATAACTCTAAACATTTCTTTTAAAATTTATCTTTATAACTAGATTAATTAATTCTAATTAATTTTAAACTCTCTTTTAATGTACGTAGTTTCAAATTCACTTTCAATAATATTTTGCAAATTTAGGAATTACTCAATAAGAAAATGAAAAAAGTATATGAAAATAAAAAAGAAAGAACCCATTTTCAAATTCAGTTTATAAGCACAAAATAATGGAACTTTCTTTCAATTACATATGTCAAATCAACATAAAAGCCATTCTAACTTCAGTTAACTTATTAAATTTCAGTAGCTCCCTTCAGTTTGTAGAAAAAATAAAATGTTTTTCTTCTTTGGAATGTCTATTAAATAATAAACTGCTCTGTTTCTCAAAAGATTCTCCAATATGATTTTTTTTTTAAATATGTCAATGTTATCAATTTGCATTTTGATTTTAAAGTTCAAATCTCAAACTTGTTCACTTGAGGATTATTGATTTACTTGCAACTCTTCTTTTAGTTACACTCTGGAACTTGTAATTAAACCATCATAATAGGCACAGTTAGTATCAGGTTTATAGTCCAAAATTAGAGTTAAGTTCTTTGCATTGTCAAATACTTGTGCAGTCGCTACAGTGGTTTGATAATTTTCTGCACTTGATTACATCTCTGGATTATTATTCTTCCTTCCAATTATTAGAGTAGTTTGTTCCTCTTGCCCATATTTCATGATAGCTTTGGAATATAGTTGATCTATAAAATGAATTGTTTTGTTTATAATTTTGGCAATTTCTATCTGGGTTAAATGCCTTGTGTGTTGTTTCTGTTCTTTAGCTCCCTCTTGTGGTCAAAGAAATATCCTTTTTAAAAGCTTTTTGTAGATCAGCTGGTATCTCCTGGTCAACTATTAAAGTCAGAAGATTTCAACTGTTTTTGCTTGACTTTTATTTTAAGGGGTTAAAATTAGGGTTATGGTTATAACTTCCAACATCAAATAAAGGTGGCAAATTCATGAAAATGAGGAAAGAAGGAAATAATATCGCAACTTTTAAAATTATATAACAGATAACAGATAATCAGAGTTGGAAGGGATCTTGTAGGTCATCTAGTCCACCCCCGCCTAAGCGGGAGACCCTACACCATCTCTGACAAATGGCAGTCCAATCTCTTCTCGAAAGTCTCAAGTGATGGCGCTCCCACAACTTCCGAGGGCAAGCTGTTCCATTGGTTGATTGTTCTCACTGTCAGAAAGTTTCTCCTTATTTCCAGGTTAAATCTCTCCTTGTTCAGTTTCCATCCATTAATCCTTGTCTGGCCTACAGGTGCTTTAGAAAATAGCTTGACCCCTTCCTCCCTGTGGCAGCCCCTCAAATATTGGAAGACCACTATCATGTCTCCCCTGGTCCTTCTCTTTACTAAACAAGCCAAGCCCAGTTCCTGAAACCGTTTGTTGTATGTTTTAGCCTCCAGTCCCCCTAATCATCCTGGTTGCTCTTCTCTGTACTTTTTCCAGAGTCTCAACATCTTTTTTATAATGTGGTGAGCAAAACTGGATGTAGTACTCTAGGTACTTAGGCTTTATAGAGTGGTATTAGTACTTCCCTTGATCTTGATTGTATCCCTCTGTTAATACAATTTAGGATTGCATTAGCTTTTTTGGCTGCTGCTGCACACTGCTGGCTCATATTTAGCTGGTTCTCCACTAGGAGTCCAAGATCCCTCTCACAGTTACTGCTATTGAGCCTAATTTCACCCAGTCTATATGTGTACTTTTGGTTTTTCTTGCCTAGTGTAGGACTTCACTTTTCTCTACATTGAATTTCATTTTGTTAGATATGGCCCAGTGTTCTAGTCTGTCAAGATCCATCTGGATCTTAGCCTGGATCTTCTTGGGTGTTCGCTATTCCTGCCAGCTTAGTATCATCTGCAAATTTGATAAGTTCCCCTTCTATTCCCTCATCTAAGCTGTTAATGAAGATATTGAAGAGTACTGGGCCTAAGACGGAACCTTGCACCCCACTGCTTACTTCCCTCCATGTAGACTTAGACCCTTTAAGGACTGCTCTTTGAGTATGATTTGCCAGCCAGTTACGAGTCTCTAGTGGTGGTGCTATCTATTCCACTTTTTTCTAGCTTACTAAGAAGTAGGCTGTGGTCTACTTTGTCGAAGACCTTGCTGAAATCTAAATATATTATGTTCACAGTATTTTGCTGGTCTACTAATTTAGTCACTTTGTTGAAGAATGAAATAAGATTGGTTTGGCATGATCTGTTCTTAACAAACCCATGCTGACTGCTAGTTATTACTTTATTTGTTTCTAGATGTTGGCAGATCTGTTTTTTTATTATCTTTTCTAGTATCTTCCTGGATATCGATGTTAGGCTGATTGGTCTATAGTTTCCTGGGTCTGTTCTTTTTCCTTTTTTGAAGATGGGAACCACATCAGCTCTTTTCCAGTCCTCTGGTAGTTCCCCAGTGCTCCAGGATTTTTGAAAGATATGGTGCAGTGGTTCTGAGATGACCTCTGCCAGCTCCTTTAAAACTCTGGGATGTAATCCATCAGGCCCCAGTGATTTGTTTTCATCAAGATCAGACAGGTGTTCTCTTACTATTTTTTTCCTTATTTTAACTTTTATTTCTGGTCTTCCTTTTACAGTTATGTTTTTGGTGGGTTGAGCTGTAGTTTCTTTTTGCGTGAAGACAAATGCAAAGAATGAGTTAAGCAGTTATGCTTTCTCTGTGTTGCCTGTTACTTCCTTGCCATCTTCTCTCTTTAGTGGACCGACTGATTTCTTGATTTTTTTTCTTGTTATTTTTATGTTGGAAGAAACTTTTTTTATTATCTTTGACTTTTGTTGCAAGTCTTTGTTCATTCTGAGCCTTTGCTATCCTGACTTCATCTTTGCAGATTCTGGCTATCTGCTGATATTCTGCATTAGTTGTATGTCCTTCTTTCCATTTTTTGTACTTGTCCTTTTTTCTCTCTCAATTTGCCAGAGAGATCTTTGTGCAGCCATGCTGGTTTCTTCTTGGATTTCTTGTTTTTCTTTCTCAGTGGTTTTGTGCTGGTCTGGGCTTCTATGATCATACTTTTTAGAGTTTCCCAAGATTCTTGAGTTGTTTTCCCCTTTAGGATTTTCATCCATGGAATCTTTCCCAAGTTCTCTCTGAATTTATTGAAATCAGCTCTTTTAAAATCCAAGATTCTGGTGTCATTATGTTCTGTTGCTTGTGTTTGTGTTATGTTGAATTCTAGTATGATATGGTCACTTTCACCCAAGGTTCCTGCAGTTTCAACTCCCTCTATCACTTCTTCTCTGTTTGTAAGAATTAAGTCCAGTATGGCTGTCCCTCTAGTTTCACCCTCTACCTTTTGGACAACAAAGTTGTCAGCTAGTTTGGTTAGGAACTTATTTGATTTCTCAGTTGGTGCAGAATTGGTTTTCCAATTGATATCAGGATAATTGAAGTCTCCCGTTACTATTGTTGTGTGTTTCCTGCATATGTTTCTTAGTTGGCTGGCAAAAAGGACATCTATATTTTCTGCTTGATTGGGTGGCCTACAATATACACCTATGGCCATGCCATTCTTTTTTTCTTTTATATTGACCCATATGGATTCTAGGAGGTTTTCATCTTTGGATTCATGCATGTAGCAATATAGTGGTCCATTACATACAGTGTAGCTCCACCTCCTCTTTTATGGGGTCTGGGCTTTTTTTTTTTTTTTGAATAGTTTGTATCCTTCTACCAGTATGTTCTAGTCATGGGTTTCATCCCACCAAGTTTCTATTATTCCAACTATATCATATTTGCCTTCATGTTAACATATGCTTATGTTAACTCACCTCCAGCAATTCTCTTCTACATTTTTCAACAAGTACAATGTCCTAAAATGGCATAGATCTTCAAAAAGAAGCAACAGTCTAAATCTGAAGAAAATCTGTTTTAGCTTATTAAAGATAAAAATTAAAGAAAGTGCTGAAGAAGTAAAAGGCATGAGTTATTGTCCACTTGAAAAATAGATTCCAAAATGCTGCTTTTTCGACAAAGAAGTGATTGTAGTCCTGGTTGCCAGTTTATTGATGATTCACCTGGCTACTTTGGAGTGCTGCTTCAGAGTCTCCTTGCAAACTTCTGCAGTATGGAGCTTTTGTGGGCTAATTCTGGAACTCTCCCTAACCCAGCACAGTGATAAAACTTATGGAATTCAATTTCCAATTGAAAAAGCTTCAGTTGAGAGAGAGATTTCTGCACTGGACAATCATCTGTTTTCACTAGAAGTCCCACCCCACATTTTAAAGCTTTAGTTTCTATAATGAATGTAGAATAGTTTAGAGCAGACCTGGACATTTTCAGCCCAGCTGTGATTTCTCCCATTCTGGCCTGTAGCACCAGACAGTAGCAACTGGGGACACGATGACATTGGTGGCAGGGAATTGGGCATAATCATCAGGGCATGAGACATCAGTCACAGGGATGTCAGCAGGGCATTAGCAGCAGTGATCCTCTACAACAATCCCCGTTTCTCATGTGGCCCCTTGAGAAAATTTATTGCCCACTCTGATTTAGAGAAAGATATTGAAGAGAACATCAGAGGCAGAGAATATGGCAATATTGCTCAATTCCCAAAGGGATCTCATATAAACGATCAATGCCTGTTTCCAATTATCCAAGAGCATAGGACAAAGACCTAACTTACAAAAAGGAATGTACCTCTTGAATATTAGGGGGAAAATAGTGACTGCAAGAGAAGTGTTGATCTCCTTTTCTGGGAATACATTTAAGCAGAAGCTAGTGCTAGACAGTCATTTTATAGGGAGGCTTATTTTGGATTCTGTTACTTAGCAAGGGAATTAGACTTTATGGTTTTAATGAGTCTTTCCAAAACTGTGATCTGATTATTCCAAGCTATTAGCTCATACCTATTTAAACAACTATCCTAGAAATGGATGTGGGAAGGGATCATTCAGAATACTTCCAGCTTCTTATCCTTTAACAGAAACTGCCATAAGCTGAAGCTTGGAACCTTTGGGCTACAAAGGATACATCTTTATAGTGGATTTTGTATTTTATTTTTTTAAACCAATAGCAGAATTCATGTTTCTTATTAGCTAAGTAATAGAAAGAATTTTAGAACTGTTACAGCTCGATAGTCTTTTAATGTCTATGTGTTATTACTAACTTATTTCGGATTGAACACTCTTTTGCTAGATACACGGGTGAACAACACATGACCTTCTGGAACAGACTGAATTACAAGTAACACATCCTCCATCATGTTAGCTCTGCTTTCTAGATTGCAGTTTAGTAGGATTTGAAGTTAATCGTCAACATAACGGCTCTTGAAAGAGATGACAGTGCTATCTTTTCACTGACCTTTCGCAGCAAAAATGTGATTGAGGTCAATGGAATTGAAAAAGTCCAGTGAAAATCTTTTACCCTACACTATCTGCCTCTATAAAAGATATCCATCACCCCTTCCATCCCAATATTACCTGGGTTTCTTTCAAATTTGAATGACAGGGCAAGAAAGGGTAAAATTGGATGAAGTTGAAAATAATCTGTAGCATCAAGGGAATACTCTTTATCAGGTGTCATGGTGAAAATAAATTACTGTATAGATTTTTGATCAATGATAATGCACCTGCTCTTTTAAAACTGGTAACAAATATAACTGGGAGCTGAAAGTTGATGATGGGCCAGGAAAATGAGCTGAGATAAGATTCTAATAGCTGGCCAATAGCTACTTCTAAGAAATGTTGTTTTCTGAATTTATAAGGTTTGCTGAAGTTATTTTCCTACCTCAAGTAGCATTTCCTTCCAATCTATCATGAAGCTCAATAAGAAAACATAACTTATGATTTGACACCCCAAATATTTTATCTGGCCATTTCACTATGGCCAAATAAAATATTTGGGGTGTAAAATCATAAGCCATTTCACTGTGCCCACTGCTAGGACTGTGCATACAAATAGATTGCATCTTAACTTGAGCATATTCTAGAGAATGACCCTATCAGATATTGGGATGATTAAAATTAAAATTAAAAAATGAACAAATAATTGTCTAATTCATTTTGTGTTCATTTTCTCTAAGTTCAGGAATATTCACATATTCTCTTCAAATGTCCATGCTTCACTGATGAAAACAGCCCTGTATATTTTTAGATTATGTATGTTGAGATAGATAAGTACAGGCATGTATATGCGTGAAAGGAAGAGTGTGTTTCAAATGTGTCTGCTGTTAATTGCCACATGGGCAAAGACAACACTAAATGTATAAATAAAACATCCAAATAAATTTGCCAGTGATCATGGATCGTATGGAGGCTTGGGGGAAAGGCCTGGTAATGAAAAAACGGATTTTTAATAATCTACAATCAAGTTGTTTTAATATCTGGAAATAAAACATCTCTTCAAAACTTTTCTGCAGAAAGCAGTTGCCTTATTCTTGTGCCCCACCTAGTGTCCACTCCTAGATTTGTTTGGCTTTTTTGATCTAATTATCTTGATAGATCATATCATGAACTAACAAAAATAAAAATGGCCTTTCCTTTTAATCATTTTCAACGGAAAATAGGCTCATTTGGATTTAGTGCTCTACTCTATGTATTTCCAGCTCAATACAATCTTGTAATGAAATAGTGGGGCTTTTTTTCTAAAAGCTGAAAATAAAACGAAATGAAAGTATAACTTGATTCCAATGGGCTTTTTCCACTTAAATACAGGTGGTTCTTGCTTAATAACCAATTGTTCAGCAACCATCTGAACTTTAACAGTGTTGAACAAGTGAGGGATACTTATGACCAAACCTTGAAATTCCAGCCATTACAGCATTATTGAAGTTATGTGATCATAAGGCAACTGGCTTCCGGGTTGCAATTATGACATTGTGTTGTCTCCAGGGCACATAATTGCCATTTACAACCTCCTTTGCCAGCTTCTGGCAAGCAAAATCAGTGTAGAAGCTGGCAGGAGTCTGAAATTATATGATGTCCTTGCTTAACAACCTAGTAATTTGCTTAACAACAGCAACCTGGAAGGCCAGAATTGTTATTGCTAAAAGGAACGGTTACATGATGTTATGCTTTATGAAGGTGTCATAAAGCAACAGCAATTCTAGTCCCAATTGCTATCATTAACTGAGGGTCACCTGTAAATAAAATAACAAGCACCAGCAGTATTGCAATAAGGTAATAATGAACAACATTTGCAACCCTTCAGCACTCCTTGACCATGCTACTGAATTTTGATGGCACACCTTTGGCCTTTGTGAAAAGGCTGGGGGGCTTAGAAGGTAGAACATGAGTGTGATTAGGCTTTTACAGCTTTCATATTATAAATACACCCATAAGAATAGGTGAGATGAGACATGGCAGAGAAGTCATATCCAATGACAAGTCAGATAGGCAAGTCCACTGGTCGGCTAGTCTAGGACCAGCATTTGATGACCAAGATTCATAGGAATGGCATACCACAGCAGGAAATCAGATGGCTGTTTCCAGTGAAAGAACGTGGGTCAAAGCAGCCTCTTAAATCATGCTGTAACCAGCTGTCTTTAATCAAGACATCTAGTTGCTTGCTTGGCAAAGAGCATCATAGAATATCTTTGCTTTGCTCTTCACTCTATTCACCAGGTGCGGGAAGTGGGAGGCCTGTTGTCATCATCTGACTACTCCTGCATTTGATCAGCCTGAGATGATTTGTGCATCCTGAAGCTGACAGATTCTGCTGGAGCAGCTTTTTCAAAATCAGATTTGGAGTCTGAGTCTTGGACCGCATACTCATAGAATTTCCACCACTTCTGGTTGCCATCAGAAGAAAGAAGAAAAATCCACTACTTGTGGTCTGCCAGTGGTCTGTGAAGCTGGCAGCAGAGTCAGACAGTGGAGAGGAACATGGGCCAGTTCTGGAGGGCTCAGACAAGGGATCTGCATCTGACACAGAGATGGGGCCAGGGCCATCTAAGAGTTATGTGCTGTGTCTGGAGCCTCCAGAATCTGACATCAGCAAGGCAGAGGAACACAGGGAGCCTGTTCCCAGTGTGCATTTGCACAGAGCTGCCAGAAGGCAAGAACAGTTAAGACAAAAGGGGAGACTTGGGAGTAAGACTTGGAGATGATTGGCCCCTTCCATAAGACATAAAGGAGGAGCAAAGGGACATGAGCCTTCGCAGGAAGCAACTTTGTTCGTTCTGGTTGCTTTAAACTCTGAAGCTCAGTGTTGACTTTGTGCTCTGTTTGGCCTTGTACAGCTAATTGGCAATTTAGTCATTGGCAGCATTTCAAGGGAAATAAGGTGGGTGCTTATCAGCCTTATTCCAAAAGACTTCAGCAGACTTCTGTTGGACTATTCATAAACTGTTTGGGACTCATTATGGGCTGTGAATGCATATAATTCACAGCCGTTGAAATAAAACAAAAGGTTTTTGGGAACAGCGTGTGATTGTTACTGTCTCAGGAAGCCTTGGTCAGAACACTACTGAGCAACATTCATATATATGAAACTAGAGTCCATAATAATTTGCGAAAAAGCATAAAACAGCCCTCCTTAATCCTTTTAAAAGTTAAAAGAGGGGAGAAAGTAACACGTTCAGATTTGCAATATTCTGTTACTATAGCTCTTCTAATTAAAACAAGTCTATAGAGTGTCTTTTTCTTAGTCTGATCTACTTAATATGTCTGATAGGTATATCTGATAGGACTTGAATATTTGGCATCTATTTTTCTATATAGGGTTCCAACTTCTGTTGAATGATCATAATCATTGTTTTGCTAACGTGTGAAATTAAGTTTATATAATAGTTTGATAACAACCAAATTAAGAACATTTCATAATAGTTTGGTAATAATTAGAATGCTGATCTAACTTTATCTTGTAGTGTTAGAAGTTTTTGTAAGTATGGAATATCTTGGATAGTGACATCTCTACAGTACCAATATTTCAGCATATTCCTACTACCGTTGTTTTATCTTCTTAGAATTTTTTAAAAATGTTGAAGAAACTATTAAACATTGTGAGCCAATTGGAAATGGTTCTGGAGCTTTTTAAAATGCCCATATGGATAGCAACCTCCATATTGTCTTGTGACTTTCATAAATCCTGGGCAACTATGTTCAACCTCAAATGGCAACTGAAGAATTTCCACTGCAAGCAGACCATCTAAGTTATCTCAATAGGAAGTGGGAATCTTGCAAACAGAGAAATTCTCTCAAGTTTCCAGTATCTAAGAGATTTATACAGTTTTAATATATTTATTTTCCTGGGTTTTTTCTATGTCTTCGTAGATAAATGTTTAGGTAGATAATTAAAAGATGCAGGTTCCTTGTTTGATAGATGTCCCCCTGATGAAATTATACCTAATGCATCTGAATAAGGTATAATACTTCTACAGATTACACAAAAATATATTTTATTTTAAAGTAAAAATAGATTTTACTTCGCTCAAATGTGTTTAGAAGGGGATATATTTCTATATATGGCTAGTAACTGCTTGATACAATGTAAGAAAAATGGAGGTCGCTTATATCTAAACATGTGGAAAATCATTTCCCACTAGATGGCAGCATTAATATTTTTTTTTATTCTTAAAATAATCATTAACATCAGAGCTGAATTTAGATATGATGAAGCCTTAAGCTAGAGGCTCTATTAGGTAAGTGCTAATAATGACTAAAATTGTATCTTAAGTGAACTTGGAAAGCATGCTACTAATATGCATTACAAACTTCTGATAAAGTGAGGAAGGGCCCTCTTTGAACAGATGGTATGAATACATATAGAAGTAAAACGTATCTTAACTATTGAGGAAATTTTAATTTATGTTCATATATGGAATTATAGTAAAACTGTAATAAATGAAGCAAAAATCTGAAATTTTGAGATACTTCTTTTGATGAGAGGTTCTCAAACACAGTTTGTTTAACTTATGCCTAAATCCATCTTTGATTAATATTAAATTGACTTATTTAAATATTAGTACTTTGAATTCACAAAATTGCATTGAACTAAGAATCTCATGCTTAGTTAATTCATAAGACTATGTCAGACAGGACACAAGACTATGTCAGACATGACACATTTAAAGCAATTTGAATTTGGAATATTGAAACACTGAAACTGTTATAATAAGATTTTGGAATTACTTACAAAGAGTTTCTCATAAGAAATATATCTGTTTTGATTTCTCAGAGACATAAATAAGCAATTTCATAATTTTAAAAATTTACACTATGGAAAATTAAATATTTTATGAAAAGGAAAAAATGCAAACCTATAAAATGCAAAATTTTGTAACAATAAAAATACTGAAGGAGAGTTTGATGAATGGATCAGAAATCAATAGCCATAACATTAGCAATGTCAGTAATGATGTCTGCTTAAGATATAGAACCATTTTTTAAAAAGATAGATATGGTATTGAAAGGAGGTCTACAACTGTCAGGCCAAGTGGAAAAGGTTGTTTCATTGGATCTACAACAGAAATCAAATGATGTCTTAAATTCAGTTTCATGATAAACTAAGAAATTGATCTGAACAATATTTTTCTGATGTCCAAAATAAGCTTGCTAAAGCTTAAAGAATTATGTGCAATGCTACAAAGAAGAAATGAAGATAAATCAAATCCAATGACAATATTTGATTGAACTAAATATTAAGATTGTTAGAAGCAAAAGGAAGAAATACAAAATTTATTTATTTGATAAAGTTTAATACAAGCTATGTTGTTACTTTCAGCAATCCTTTATAGACTTTCTGCTAATACCAGGAGTGAGAAGATTGTGTTTTATAGACGTATCCCTAGATAAGGGATGGGATAAGGTAGGAATAAATAAATGTTTGTATAAACTCTAAATTTATTTATACTTGTTGCAATGAAAGTTGGAAATCGCTTTTTAATATATTTCCAACTCAATGAATCCATATCCAGAGTGAGGAAGTCATTCAAATGCTCTGTATGTTTTTACAGCACATCCTTATGAAAACAGAAGGGAGTATAAGGTGGATGTGGGGATAAGATATATGCCCCCAATATAAGTTAGAAGATAATGTTAAATTACATCTTCCAGTATCTTCCCCTACTGGTCGTGCTGGAAAATGCACTTCAACAACATCTGTAAACTTTTATTTTCTCTCAGCCAATCCAGTTGGTTTAGATTTTGTTGTTATTGTTGTTGAGCTTGTACTTTCAGTTCCAATTAATTCATTTGACCTCTTCACCTGGATAGAAAATTCTTCATTGCCAGAACCACCATTTGCATTGCTAATAGTGCAAGTAGTCATTTCAAGACATCTCAAAAACACCACTTGAAGAAGGCTAATTATACTGAAATTTGACTATTTGTGTAGTGATTTTTAACTTTAAAAACTTTAACTTTAAAGCAAAATGCTGGGCTAATTGGTATATTAATATTATGTAACTGAACGATATGTCTGCTTGAAATGTGATCCCTACAAATGTTAGATATTCATAAAGGACTAGAAAACTAGTCTTATGAATTACCTTCTCAAACCCAACATTTTTATTAATTTAATCATTGTTTCTTTTTCTTGAGAACACTTATATATCAGGACCATCTGCCCTTCTGAATCTTTCAAAGCATGTTCAAGCCAAACTCTAACCACATCTATATCTGCTAGCTTGCTGAAATTAGGCAGAGGACTATATGAAAAAAATTAACGCTCCATGCAGTATAAAATCTGGCATTCAATCAGTGTCTTATCCCCTGAATTGCTCCACTCAAAATATTTTTTTTTAATGCTACCATTCTCCATCTTTTCAGAATATTTGAAATGCTTTTGTTTTACTATTTGTCTGAAATGCTGAGAAATTGATAGGAGGGAAATATATTTCTATTTTATTCTATTTCTATAAAGAACCAGAAAGCCACTGAGACATACATGAGCCTGTAGCAACCAGCCACTTCTAACAATTGCCCAAATTATAGCACTTTGTTGCTATGGCAGCAGTAGTTGGGGAATGAGACTGAGACTGATCTGGGATGTTTTTATTTTTATTTAGAAACGTGCAACTTTTCCCACAGTAAGAAGTAGCTCAGACAAAACAAGCAGGTGTTCAGTTCTGCTTCTTTTTCTATTTGGCAGGCAACCAGAAGCTGCTATTTAGGTCTCAACTAAACTTTTTTGTGGGTGGGGAGACTTTAATCAATGGATTGAATTTAGGATGAAGTAAGAGTTTTTACTAATGTGGAGACTGCCACAAGATCTATCAAGCAAAGTGCTACAGGATACTATAAATGCTAATTTTGTTACAGCTTCAAATGTGCTCCAGAAAGTCAAAAATAGATCAGATCTGTTCTCAGACTCTAACTCCTGAGAAATTATAGATGTTTGAAGCTTTTGAACTAGTGTGAAATCTTCAAGTAGAAGTACAATAGAAACAAACTGGGAATTCCTTGAACTACAAGATGGCCACTGAAAAGTAGAATATCTGAGGTTAGTTTTTTTTCCCCTTAATACAGCCAATGCCAGATTGTGAATATAAGACACCAAATAAATTAATGGTGTTACCTCCTGCTGATGTGATGCTCATTTTTAGAATAATTTGGAAGGAGAAGCAACATAGTCAAGCTCTGACACCCTGAGCTAGTACATACTATTGTTTTTGCATCTCATTCCTATAATTTCATTATGTATATCCTGTAGAAAATTAGCACACCCACCACTCTCCTAGAAAAATGAAATACTTCGAGAGATATTTAAAAAGGCAGAATATTATATTTCCCCTAAAAGAGAAAGAGAAATCTTAAAGGAAACAGAAACTCATGGCCACAGTTCCCTGCCCCCAAGCAGATACTAAGCTGAGGCCAGCTTTTAGAAATGCAGTTTTAATAATCCATTCAAGACAGGATATTTTGAACAAAGGCAGAATTAGGTAGAGTGGTAGGATCAACCCTCACTGAAGAGCCAAACCAGGAAAGCCATTACAGACACAATAGAAATGGCCCAACGCTCTTTCGAGACACAAGCCTCCTCATTACATCATCTCAGAGAGTCCAGGCTTCAATCAAATTTAAATCAGACAACCTAAAAAGTTAGCTATGACCCCTATATAGCTCCCTGGGAGTCTGACAACCAAGGCCCAAGAGAGGGTATAAATACCCCTCTCTCTCAAACGCCATGTGTTCAGCTGCACAGGACCTCAATCATGTGATCCTGTCCATCAATAAACCATCTTTCCCATCAGCCCTCCATGTTCCAGTGTCTGTCTCCCTACTTGGAAAATATTCAACAATCCCAAAGGTGCTTTTTCAAGAGACAACTTGATTTTCTTGTTTTTCTTTGAATGTTTTTCCTTGCAGCTTAGCCACTTTTCCCAAAAGATGACTAAACTTATTGTAAGGCCATTGCTTAGATCAAGAAGGAGCAAGTGTGACCATTCTTAGTGAGCAAAGAATGAAAGCAAAATCTATGAATCACAGAAGGCAAAGGAAGGGATTTTCTGAGATTTCCAAAGACTTTTGGAAGTATCATTATTTTGAGTATGGTATCTTTACTTCCTCAAAATATTAGGAAATTGCACCATTATTTTGGTTTGCACTGGGCTCTGGGAGCCATACAAGAAAATTTAGAGGCTAGCTTTGGCTCTGGAGTTGTAGTTGCCCATCTTTGTCCTAGAGTAAGTCTTTAATCCCATTAATATGGACTAGGGTAATGTTTTTCAATTTTAGCAGTTTTTTAAAGATAACTGGACTTTTTGAGAGTTGAAGTGTACCCATCTTAAAATTGCTGAGTTTGAGAATGCTGGACTACACTGGATTTCTGAATAAAGATGTAAAGAGTTGAGTTAACTATCATTTTTTCCCTCCTTTCCATTCACTCTCTCTTTGACCCTTCCCCCAAATTCTTTGACATTACCATTTTAAGGCTTGCTGAAAATTGGACAGAAGTTTGACAATAACTTCATTTCATTACTGACATGCTTTACAGGTGAAACTCGAAAAATTAGAATATCCTGCAAAAGTTCATTTATTTTTATGAGATAGACTCATTACATGCAAAGCAAGATAGTTCAAGCTGTGATGTGTCATAATTGAGATTATTATGACTTACAGCTCATGAAAAGCCCAAATCCACAATCTCAGAAAATTAGAACATTGTGAAAAGGTTCAATATTCTAGGCTCAAAGTGTCCCACTCTAATCAGCTCATTAAGCCATAACACCTTCAAAGGGTTCCTGAGCCTTTAAATGGTCTCTCAGTCAGGTTCAGTAGGAATCACAATCAAAGACTGCTGACCTGACAGTTGTGCAGAAAGCCATTATTGACACCCTCCTTAAGAAGGGAAAGCCTCAAAAGGTAATTGCAACATCAGAAGCATCTTACCTGGGCTAAAGAAAAACAGAACTGGTCTGTTGCTTAATGGTCCAAAGTCCTCTTTTCTGATGAGAGCAACTTTTGCGGTAATTTGGAAACCAAGGACCCGGAGTCTGGAGGAAGAATGGAGAGTCACACACTGCAAGATGCTTGAAGTCCAGTGTGAAGTTTCCACAATCTGTGTTGATTTGGGGAGTCATGTCATCTGCTGGTGTTGGTCCACTATGCTTCATTAAATCCAGGGTCAACGTAGCCGTCTACCAGGAGATTTTGGAGCACTTCATGCTTCCTTCCGCAGACAAGCTTTATGGGGATGCTGACTTCATTTTCCAGCAGGACTTGGTACCTGCCCACACTGCCAAAAACACCAAAACCTGGTTCAATGACCATGGGATTACTGTGCTTGATTGGCCAGCAAACTCACCTGACCTGAACCCCATAGAGAATCTATGGGGCATTGCCAAGAGAAAGATGAGAGACATAAAACCGAACAATGCAGAAGAGCTGGAGGCTGCTATTGAAGCATCCTGGTCTTACATAACACCTCAGCAGTGCCACATGCTGATAGCTTCCATGCCACTTCCATGCCTCATTGAGACAGTAATTGCTACAAAAGGGAGCCAAACCAAGTACTGAGTACATATGCATGCTTATACTTTTCAGAGGTCCAATATTGTTCTATGTACAATCCTTGTTTTATTGATTGCATGTAATATTCTAATTTTCTGAGATTGTGGATTTGGGGTTTTCATGATCTGTAAGCTATCATCATCTCAATTATGACAAATCATGGCTTGAACTATCTTGCTTTGCATGTAATGAGTCTATCTCATGTATTAGTTTCACCTTTTAAGTTGCATTACTGAAATAAATGAACTTTTGCATGATATTCTAATTTTTCAAGTTTCATCTGTACATTCTAGCATTTCATGTATGTGATGGCAGTAGAAAAGAGACCACTGGATTTTAAAATGCGGAGTGCACATTTTCTTTCTTCTCTCTCTCGGCAAAGCTTTTAAAATACTGAGGCATCTCAGTATTAGGTCACATGTGGGAAAAACACTGAACCACAGGCTACAAGGAAGTTCAATAGTTTCCTGTGAAAAATATTGCTGAACATTTGCAGCAAAGCTTTTGTGACTAAGAAGCTCAGAGAGTCAGAGTGAAAATGCTTCCTTTATCATCTTTCTGATAAACTGCTATTGTTTGTTTAATACTAGCTGCATGTTTAATTCTCTTTCAAATTATCATCCTACTCCAACTGCTTTTCAAGTTGAAAAACAGGAATTGAATGTTTGAAATAAATATATTTTGCAATTGTCTTTTGTTCCATACTCTTCTTAATACTATTTATTTTATTTTTATCCTGCTCCTCTAAGATTCTAATTGAAGATTCTTTTGACTGAGTATCCCTAGAAGACAAACTATGAATACAGAGAGTGAAATGTATAAATTGAGCAAAACTCACAATAAGAGCAAGAATACGAGCAAGAGTTTCCATTCCCACCATTAATTTCACGAACAGTGACATTTGCACAAGTGGCTTGTCTCCTGTACTCCATTCATCATGCTTCAGATCACAGGGTTCCCATGGACAAACATGGGATTCCCAAGGATTTCCTGATAAAGGGCTTGGTGATACCCCCCAAGTTGATCAATAAACTCATGGGAAAGGCAGAGATGGGGAGCACCCCTGCTGACTGCACCCCTGCAGAAATGGCTTTCATCAAGCACCATAGCTGTGCTAAGCTATAGTTTAGTGTACAAAGAGTAAGACTGACAGTGTCTCTTATACTTGTTTCTCTCTGCCTCCCTTCCTGTGCAGTTGCAAAGTGGCTGAGAGTCTGCGCTTCTATTTTTCATTGACTATAGCTTCATGTAAAATATAAAACACAAACTGTGAATCTTATTTATCTTTATTAGAAATAACCATCTTTTTTACCTGAAGTTTGAATCTGGCTTGTTTGGCAATTATAACTGATATTAGGTAGTTTTTATGGTTTAGATATAACTCTGATCCGGAGGTGAACTTTCGAATTTCTTCACATTACCGCCCTGGAAATGGGACAATCGTTTTATTTTTGTAATGAAAAAAGCAGATAATTCTTTTTTAAAAAATATTCACATTCCTACACAAACATCAATGTTCTTCCACATAGATACAAATAAAATTGGAAGTCATTTTTCTGTATTTCTTTTCTTATTTCTCCCATTCCACTTGTCACTTTCTAACTTGACTGTCTTTTTGATCCCCTACCCCCTTTTTAATCTTCTGGTCATATTTCCATTCAAGTTTCTTCTCTTTATTGCTTTAATTGCAGTTCTCTATGTATCTATTACAAAAATATAGTGCAAAACTACAAAGATATAGTATAGAAAATATCAATATAGAACAATGCAAATATAGAACAAATTTCTTGCAGAAATTTGAAATAGAACAAATATGGAACAAATTTCAAATTTTTATTGCTTTAAATGCCATTCTCTGTGTATGTATTACAAAAATATAGTGCAAAACTACAAATATATAGTATAGGAAATATACATATAGAACAATGTCATATAAGAAAATACTTAAATTGCTTGAAAACGACAGCAATCATACAATCATTAAAACAAGCCAAAGCCTCCCTAGTCATGAAGTTTTGTGTGGGAATAATAAGTTACTCTGAATCTTCTGATTTTCTAGTTTTGTTTCTAATCTGTTTGCCAACAGTCACACTTTAAGCCTGCTCAGAGTTTGGCTAACCATAAGTTTACAGACACTGCAATGCTAATATGGAAAGCAAAAGTATTTCCTCTGAGATAAGTACGCAACACAAAAATACTTAAGGTCTTTCTTTTATGCGCCTGGGTGGTTTCGGATGAGAGCATGATTTGGAGGGACCAATCTGTTGTTGCAGTTGAGAAGGAGATGGGTTGTTTTTTTGAGGTGATGGATTAGAGCCAGAAGAAAGAGGAACCTCAGGGAGTTTCCTTTTTTGCAGGTGATTATTAATCTGGATTTTCAGGGCATATTCCTCAGCTGCAATAAGGAGAAACAAATTAAAACTAAGTAATACTGATTGACCTAACTGAAGAGCAGCAGTACAAAATCAGCTCTGAATTTTATGCAGAATATCACAAGGGTACAGTAGCATAGATTATGGTCAAGTACTCAATTTCCAATACTAATTCAAACCTGGACGAAGTCTCAGAAATAAAGAGCTTGCCATATCAAAGATTCCAATCCAGCACCAAGGTCTAAGTCTCCCCTCCCCAAATTGGTAAGCATTACCATGCTTACAATAGCCAGCATTAAAATGAAGAGTTGTAATCCAATATATTTGGGGGCTGTTGGTTGGGGAAATCTGCATGATGCCTTGATTATCACTTGACTGCCTTTTGTTTCTAATCATCTCCAGTGACCCCTACTTGATATCACTTTTTTTTAAAAAAAAAAAACTTATTTCAGAACACAGAGCCTTGGAAAGCCTTGGGTAAATCATGATCATCATCATCATCCACTTTAAAAAGTAAACATGGATCAGAAATAAAGAATATCAATTAATTGAAATATACAAAAGTACAAAATAGATGTACTGCACAAAAATCTTATGTAGCACATCTCTATAGAAATTGTAAAATACAAAAAAGGCCTTTCTCGTAAAAAAATTAAATAAACTGGATCCTAAATCTTACTAACAAAATATATGTAATTAAATCAGATAAAATAAAACAATATACAATATAAAAGGCAGACTACCAAGATTAGTCA